ATATATATATATATATATATATATATATGTATATATATATATATATATATATATATATATATATATATATATATATATATATTTGTGTGTGTGTGTGTGTGTGTGTTTGTGTGTGTGTGTGTGTGCGCGCGCGTGTTCGTACATATGCATGTTCCTAGAAGTATACACCTTGAAGTTTATGGGAAATAAACGAAACAAGAAATTATTCTTGTGCAAAGTGTTATTATCGTGTTATTCACATTGTGATGCTAATAGATCAACGAGATTGACCTTGTCGAGAGTTTCTTTCTTAGTTATGTATAAAGGATTCGTTTATCTAAAGATCAGAACATATTGTCTTTAAAACTGCATTGAATAAATTTAACCATTCTCGTTTGAAGTATAATTACACCACGAGGAAGTAATTGAGCTCTTATGAAGCTAAATAGAGGATGTCAATAAGCAAAATTATCTTTTTAGATTTTTTAAAACATATTCTTTGGCATGACTCACCAACTGCATAGTCACCAGCACACCCAATAGACCATAACCAGTGATAACGTTGGATGAATTTAAATCAATCTACATTATTTTCTTTTGCAAGACTTTTTCTCAAGCTGTGCCGGATCTTAAGTCATTTCACAAAGAAACTACTCTCGAGAAATAAGTACCTTAAAATGCATTAACGAAACATCTCAAAGAAGCCTCATTATAACTATGCAATCTACATATGACGTATTAACGAGACATAAAAAAAATCTCATTCATAACAACGCCATCTACGTACGGTGCGACGTTAACGAAACTCTACAAAGACACCTAATATCTAACAACGCCATCTACATGTACGATGCGACGTTAACGAAACTCCACAGACACCTAATATCTAACAACGCCATCTACATATAAGGTGTAATATTAAAGAAACATCACAAAGAAGTCTCGGTGGCTGCGCTCGCGTCTATTATACAACCAGGAATATAAAGCGTCTGAGCAAATGTTAATTTTTCAACGCTTGTTCTCACTCGAAGGTCTGGCGCCGACCTTCATTGCCGTCGTCGCAAGCAATCAGGTTCCTTCATCGCAAACTGGCCTTTTTATCTTGTGAACGCTCTGAGACTCGTGTTTCTTTTTCTCGCTCTTTATCTCTGGGCATCTCTCTGTCTGTCTGTCTCTGTGCCTCTTTGTCTCCGTCTCTCTCTCTCTCTCTCTCTCTCTCTCTATCTATCTATCTATCTATCTCTCTGTCTCTCTCTCTCTCTCTCTCTCTCTCTCTCTCTCTCTCTCTCTCTCTCTCTCTCTCTCTCTCTCTCTCTCTCTCTCTCTCTCTGGCTCTGTCTCTCTCTGTCTGTCTCTCTCTCCCTCTCTCTCCCTCTCCCTCTCCCTCTCCCTCTCCCTCTCCCTCTCCCCCCCCCCCCCCCTCTCTCTCTCTCTCTCTCTCTCTCTCACTACACCCCAATCATTCCCTCTTTTTTCCCGAGGGTTGTATCTATCCGGTAGTGTCTCACCTGCATCATGGGGAATACTGCATTTCGAAATTCTGGGAAATTCATCCGGAACTTTGTCCCACGACCGATGGAGTGAAACATTTTCACATTTTTGTTCATACCCTTCTCGTCCTCCTCCTCCTCCTTCTCCGTTTTCTTTTCTGTTTCTTCTTTTTTTTTTCTTCGTTTCCTTCTAATTCTCGATTTCCTCTGTCTCTTTCATACCTCATATTCAGCCGCGGATTGAAACTGTCAAACTTCCCCTGTAGGTGAAAATCGCATGCGGATTGTGCTCTTATTCTGAGTAAACTTCGTGGGGATTTCTAGATTGGTAGACGCGATAAGGGAGTGGGGGGTGGGAGGGGGGGAGAGGAGAGAAGATTGAAGGGGCTGGAGTTGAAGGAGGGGGGGAGGGGGAGGGCCGGGTGGAAGGAGCGAGGAGTGGAAGAGGGTAGGGGGGGGGATGAGGAGACGATTGTCGCCCCCATGATCGAGATTTGAGGGAGAAACCCGGGTCTCGAGCTCCTTAGCGACACCCTGCCATTACTTTGTCTCTTGCTAGTCACTCCGTTATCTGTTTTTTGTTTCTTCTATTTCTTGTTTGGGTTTTCTTTCCCTATACGTTTCAACTGGAAGCTTTCTCCACTTTTTTCTCACATGCAGACAGAAACTGAAGGAAACAAAAAGTTAAAATGGAGATACACCTTTCAATGCTAAATTTTGAGATCCAGCCCTGTATAAACTTAATTAATTTCTCCGTTATCCAATCTAATTGTGGTTTTGCTTTTCAGGAAAAATGGTTGGCGCTGCAAGTCCCGACATGCTGTGCGGACCGGAGTGCTTCGTCGGGCCGGAGGTGGGCGAGGACGGCGCCCCCGACCACGCCCTTCTCTACCGCGGGGGCGTCATCAGCATCATCGAGGCCAAGGCTTCAGAGCTCCTCTCCCGCGGCTTCGGCCCGTACCCCCACGTGAACCTCACCACAGAGCACGCCCTCGTCGTCACGCGCGCCCTGGCCACGCTCCACGCTCGCGCCATGGTCACGGAGGCGACGTCCGGGGAGAAGGTCCAGGCCAAGGCGCTCGCAGGAAGCACCCCCGTCGCCGAGTCAACGTCGCCCTCGGAGGACACGGCGGGAGGCGAGGACGGCGACGCGGCGGAGGAGAAGGAAGAGCAGAGCAGCCAGCAGAGGATCGCGGAGGCAGGCTGCGTCAAGGACAGGTGGACGGCCCAGGTGTCGCAGCTGCACATCGTGGAGTCCAACCTGTCGATCCTGGTGGACGCGTTGCAGAACCTGGGCAGCAACCAGCGGACGGTGCGACGCCTGGAGGCTCTCCGCTCCGATCTCCCAACACTGACCCAGTTCCTGCAGTTCGCCTCAGCCATGCAGTCGTGCAGGATCCCCAGCGTGGGCCCAGTTCAGGTCACCGACGTGTGGGTTCCAATGGGAGAGGAAGACGAAGAAGTGGTGGCCATTAGACTCCGCGGAGGCAAGGCTCTGGACGCCCCTCCCCTCCGCGACGCCGCGTGGGTGTGGCTCACTCTGCTGGGCGGGGAGACCCTTCGCGACCGCTACATGGAGCTCTGCGACGAGTACTGCAACTCCTTCAACAAGGCTCTGCTGCGACTCGAGGCAGCGAATCAGGTGGAAGAAATGTCCTACTTCGACGTGATGCGCGACCTCGGGGAGAACTTCCTGCACGCCTTCATCACGGTGCTGCATAAGTTCGTGGTGTCCGGGTCCTGGTACTTCGACCGCCAGCTCCACACCGAAGAAGGGATGCAAGCGCTCGTCGAAGTCATCAGCTTCCTGGTGGATAACGGCATCGTGGGATCCATCTTCGTCATCTGATACGTGGTGCTTAGGGGTGTCTCGAGTCGCCGTCCTGGAGAGTGGCTAAGCGCGGGAAGGAAGGAGGGGGACTAGCACTCTCCCCTGCACTAGCTAGCTCCTCTGTACAGAAGCTCCTCGTGTACAGAGTCTCGTAAATAGCTCACTTTTATCATCTATTAATATGAATAACAAAAATAACCAGATAAAAAGTAGATAATAAAAAGTAGTGGGTGCGTATGCCAAGTTAAATGCGAGACAACGATAATGATGCAAGCAGTTAAAAAAATGATATATTGTGCCTTTTTTTCTCCGCTGCACAATGATCATGAGAGAAGCTGGATTGATGGTGAATTTCATAGTGACGCAGTAGAAGAGATACGAGTGGAGAAAAGATACGAATGATGGCATAATTGTGTGATATACTATTATTAGATTTGTAAAAATTATATTATGAATAAACACACACACGCACACGCGCACGTGCGCACACACATACACACACGCACACGCGCACGCGCGCACACACACACACACACACACACACACACACACACACACACACACACACACACACACACACACACACACACACACACACACACACACACACACACTACATCTTATCCACTCATGAATATATGCATAAACTCTGAACATACTTGTATATAGATATCTGTAAATATACATAGAAATGTAGATAGCAGACGTAAAAAAATATCTACACCATTTCTCATTACTTTGACATAACACGTAACCTCCAAACGTCTTCCCCGTCACCACATTCCCGTCAGCAGAGTGCCTCAGTGCCACATTGGCTCTCAGGTCACAGCTGCTGTTCGAGTCCTCGGTAAGATGCAGGCTAGGCTTCGATACTGTGCTCCTGAATTATTTTGTTTCATATGCTTTGTTTAGTTCGTCCATATACATACATATATATATATATGTATGCATGTATGTATAAACGAACAGGGTACAGATATATGGATATATATATACATATATACATATATCCACACATATATACATATATATATATATATATATATATATATATATATATATATATATATATATATATATACATATATATATTATATATGTATATATATGTATGTGAGTATGTACTTAAACGCATTTGAATAATGATCAGAAAATCATTGGCCAAATGAATAATATTTCTCTTACATATTTCACACAGGAGGTAGTAGAATGTCATATGTTTTTTTTTTCCTCAGTGTCATCTGTTTTTATAATCAAAAATATGCTGACGTTATTTATTTCATACTGAGGAAGTTTAGTCTGCCTTTTCTTTAAACTTAATGTCTACTCTCAGGTATTTTTATTGAGTGTCACAGTTATTATTCTGCACATAATCTTAATATAGCATTAAGACACTGTTGCATGAAATTATACAATTCATGTACCATATCTGATCTCATTACAAGATAACATAACATGATAACTGACTTAATAATGACAAAACGAATCAGTGTTTCAACCCGTGTACAGAATTCCCCGTGTGGGAAGCTGCTGTTAGAGGTTTTAGAGGCATTGACACACCCCAGTTTTAGTTTTAAGAACGATAAAGCGTATACCGTAACCATTGGCGGCTTTCCATACATAGAAAGTTTCAAGGCATCTGATGAGTAAAGAAAAAAAAAGTGTTAACCTCGACGATGAGTTGTTGTTTTTTTGGCCAA